ATATGTATATATAAAGTTTGGTGATGAGCTGTAATTGATGGCTTCTGTCAGACTGGTAGCCACACAGTAACTATGTCCCCCACTCAGCGGAGCGGACAGGCGGAGGCGGGGCGCTAGGACCGAGGCAGGACGCTCCGGAGAGAATAAACACTTCTCTTCAGACAAGAGACTTTTATTTGTGGCTCTGTGTCTGAGCTGGGCAGGTTTCAGAGGAAGGACTGACGGCGCCGGACATCCAGAGAGACTCTGGCGATTTATATGTACACGCTGTTAAAAAAGAGCAAGCAAGATTTTCCCTCTGCGGGACGAGCCCGGAGAAACTACCTGCCTGTCACCGGAGAGGATGAGGGAAAACCTGGGGAATGATCCTAAGGGACTCGTCTGATGGGGAGGAAGAGTTTACTGGGATGTAAACACGGACCATCGATCACTAATCAGGAGGTAATGTATTAGGTTTATTTCTGTGATTGTCTCTACTAGGATGCTTAAAATGTCCAGTTTAAGACAGAAAACCACTGTTGCATGTTCAGATATTTTTATAAATAAAGCTAAGAAACTTTAAAACCTTATGCAGCCAGATGTAGAGTCATTATTCAGGCCAAATGCTGGAGTAAATAGGGGATGTCTTCATGAGGTTTCAGGTGTTTCCATACTGTTTCTTAGTCCCAAACATCTCCTCAACTATTCTCCTAGTTAATATTGAAAGGGAACTTGTATGACAGATGTTAGGGGGGAGCTGAACTCTACTTGACTCTGGTGCATATGTTATGTCAGACAAGATTAGATCACATTTAGGTGCTGAACAGGGAGTCTTCTATAGGCTTCCGGGTAACTGGAGTGTTTTGGATACCTGACAGTGTTATTTGAGTAGACTTGTATTTTCTCCTTTTATATTTATAATATAATATAATATTTCTAAAAAATGTATATGCACTACTTTAAAGATGTGTTATAATCTCCAAGCTCTAAGGCCATCCACAAATCAACGCTCTCTAGTTACATGTTGTCACTGTTGCACAGGGATGTTCTTCTGGATCGTGTCCCTGTGGTTTCCATCAGAATGAACCTCAGGAGGAGCTGCGGCTTTTGGTTCATAGCTTTAAATGTTGTTTTAAGAGTCAAACAATGTTTCACCACAGAAACAGGCTCTGAAAACACAGCCTTACATTCCCAAATCACTTAGATTACATCTCTTTTACCACAGAGGTCATAAATGCATCACATTTACTGTTTTTAATCTACAGGTTTATGTCACAGATCACCACTTCTTCACCAGCTAATTTACCACTTCAGATGCTCTGTAACTGTCTGCCATGGCTGTCAAAAATCTAGCACATCAACATGGAGTGAAGTCTGTACTTTCCCTGCTTGCAGGAGCTTCTTTTTGCAACCCTGTCTCCTTTGTAGTGTTATATGAAAGAGTGTATAGGTGTGTGTGGACCGGCCCCACCCTGCTCTTTGTTGGGAATAATGCTCTGTTCTGCCGCCGTGCCTCAACTTGTTGCTTTTCACTTTTTTACACACCTGCTCTCTTGGTGCCATGAGTGCCTCCAGGTCCACAGCTTTCAGAGGGGATCAAGTGTCTCCTTGTTGCTGCTAATCTGCCCTGAGAGCCCCACATACACTGTGAAGTAGTTAATGTTTGATGGAAAACAACGTCTTTCCTCTGAGCTTCGGCAAATATTTGATAGGAGGGTTTTTACTGTAACGTCTTGTTCAGTTGACCATAAGTCAAGAGTGGTCTGTGTAGTGGTTCATGTCTAGGAAACAAAACAACTTTTTGAAATGATGATTTAAGTAATCACACACACTGCATTTCTTTTCTTTTTAGAGCCTTGACCATGCAGCTTTGTTCTGGCTTCTCAGTTATGTCTGTGGCCACTTTACTTCCACTTTAATTTAACTTAACTTTCTCTGGAATTCGTCTGTGACTTTTGGACCGAACAGATATAAAAATGCTTGTTTGTTTCCATCAGGCTAAAATCCTATTTTCCTGGTAATCTATGTTATAGGAACAATAGGTTCGTTGTTGCCTCACCACACCAGATGAAACTCAGGCGTGCGTTGCAACATTAGATTTTGCAAGTTGACCTCAGAAATTGCTGCTGTGATTTACAATCAGCTGTGAAAGAGTCCAGATTTATGTGGGATCAGAGCTTGTGCTTTGTTATCTTGACAAACATGTAGGAATTCATGCAATGTCTGATAAGTTTGTGAGCTGTTTTTCTCACATATGTGATTATTTCTGTCGTTGCAGTGCTTTTCATCACCATGACGCCACATGAGAGCTCCCTCCTGCTGACTCACCTGCTCCTGCTCTTACTCCCTCTCACTCTGTCTCTTCTGCACCCACGTCACCCTCCACCAGTCCATGTCCCCACACTCGTCCCTCACACGCCGACGCCTCTCCTCCGCTCCCGCTTCAGTGCTCACACGCAGCTGGACCTCACCACTCACTGCAACTCCAGCTGCTTCCACAGAGAGCAGGAGGCCCAGAGGGAGCAGCTCGCAGAGAAACTGGCCTTTGAGACGCTGTACTCCGATGGCACCCGCACTCTCACCACTGTGGACGTGGAGGACGATGAGGGGTTTGAAGGAGATGACTTCGCACACCCTTCACCGAGAAGAGAACCAAGAGTGAAGCACAGGCACAAACGTGTCAGGCGGCAGATCTACGGGGCTGACGGACGTTTTAACATCCAAGGTGATCACTTCCTGTTGGATTATCCTTTCTCTACAGCCGTGCGGATCTCCACCGGCTGCACCGGCGTTCTTGTGTCTCAGCAGCACGTCCTCACAGCTGCTCACTGTGTGCATGATGGGAAAGATTATGTCAAGGGGGCGCGAAAGCTCAGGGTGGGCTTCTTGATTCCTCCACCCAGTAACAGCACCATATCCAGCCTCACTTCTTCTAAGAAGCCTCTGGTCCGCTGGGTGAGGGTGAAACGCACCCGTGTGCCAAAGGGCTGGATCCAGGGCCCTCAGGAGGTCAGCATGGACTTTGATTATGCCCTGCTGGAGCTGCGTTGGCCTCACCGACGTCCCTTCATGCGCCTGTCTGTGGCTCCCTCCTCTGACGACCTGGCAGGGAATCGCATCCACTTCTCTGGCTTTGACAGCGACCGTTCCGGGGAGCTGGTGTACAGGTTTTGTCCTGTGGAAGAAGAGTCCAGCGACCTGATATACCAGCACTGTGATGCCCGACCTGGAGCCAGTGGCTCCGGAGTGTACGGAAGAGTGTGGGACAACAGTTTAGAGCGCTGGGAAAGGAAGGTCATCGGCATTTTCTCTGGACACCAGTGGCTTGAGATTGACGGGGAGAACCGGGATTACAATGTGGCCGTGCGCATCACTCCTCTGAAGTTCGCTCAGATCTGTTACTGGGTGCATGGCAACCGACTAGACTGTGTCCAGAACTGAGAAAGACAACAGGACAAGGAGGAGGTTTTGAACGTACAGCATGAAAATCACAAGAAAGCACAAAAAGACAGTGTGAAATATGTCATCTTCCCCGGTACAGAGGATTAAATCCATCCAAAAATAACACCCTCAATGATGCACCAGTAGAGCAGATCAGTTACTGTTGGAACCCCTCATCGAGTTATTTCTCCTCTGTGTTTAATTTACTCCCTGTAACCTCCGGGCCTATTAAACAAATCCGCCTGTGAGATCATCACCGCGGCATCTTTTAATATGTTTTGCCCACAGTCAGATTAATAACACAGTCAGTGTTTCCACAGTATTAACATAAGCCACTTTTTATAAGAGGGGGAAAAACACTTCTCCTGGTGTGTGCAGTGTGTCAGTAGCAGCAGATTATTTTCCTACTGTGGATGATGGAAACCTATTGACATTTTGTCATCTCTCTCTTCTGACTTCGGGGAAATGGTTTAGTGTTTTTAGAGCTCTTTAAGGATCATTTAGTTTAGACCACTGATCTACGTACCAGAGGTGTGGACTCGAGTCACATGTCTAGGACTTGAGTCAGACTTGAGTCACAAATTTGATGACTTTAGACTGACTTGACAAAATATAAGAAAGACTGGCAACTTAATTTAAACAATGACTCATGACTTCACTTGTACTTGAGCCTTTTGACTAATAAATACTTGATACCTTCCCCTTAAGATAAAAAAATATGTTATTTAAACTTAAAAAGAACTAAAGTTATATAACCCAACAGTTGGAAAAAATAATACCAAAGATAATTTCGTTCCCATACAAAAACTACGCGGTAGTCACCAAAAAAATGAATTGCAATATGCAAAACGTGCAGGTCGATTACAGACAGAGAAGCACCAACTTCCAACAGACTTGTTTTAAAGGAGCAGTGAGTAGGATTTAGCAGCATCTAGCAGTGAGCATTGCAGATTGCAACCAGCTGAAACATCTCCACTGTGCCAAACCTGAACTCCTAGTTAGGATTCCTTAATTGTTTATTGTTCAGGAGGTTTTTACCGGTGCTGAATTATCTGCAGAGGTCTCTTTCCTCTCAAAAAACAAACAGATCAGGTGATTAAAACCACTAAAAACACAATCTAAAGAAGAAGACATTTCAAATCTGATGCAGTTTGGTTAGTTGGAGAGGGTATGCTAGCCCAGCACCTGCTAATGTGTGCTCACCTTTTTTCTCTGACAGCTTCAGATCCAGACGTTCAGGCCTCTTCCTTCAGTTTCACATTAAACATCTGCATTTTTTTGACACTGTTCAGCTCAATGCTGAGGGGACTGCTAACTATGGTAGCCCTATCTAGAGCCAGTGTTTGGTTTATTCATTCTGGACTACTGTAGAAACAAGGTGGTGCAACATGGCAGACCCACTTTAGATATAAACTGCCCATTCTAAGGTAACGAAAACACAATGATTCTTATTTTCAGGTGATTATAGGCTCAAGAAAACGTACTTATTGTATTATATTATATTCAGTTTCTGCCAATATATCCCACTAAATCCTGCACACTGGACCATTAAAATGAAAATACAACATTTAAAAAGCATTCCTGATTTTTATAGATGTAATATATTTTTATTCTGTTGTTAAATGGCATTACATTTGGTGAAGAGCGTATTATGACTTCTTTAGGACTCCGAACTCTGACTATAGGACTTGGAGTATGACTTGGGACTTGAATGCAAAGATTTGAGACTTCCTTGTGACTTGGTCCCACCTCTGCTACACACACACCTTACGTCATAGACACAATAGAAATCACTTTTTGGACACCACTGATGCTTCTTGATGTTCAGCAGACAGTTTGCTCTTCTCAGTGTGGACTGAAGAGACAGAATGTTAATTTTATTTTTTGAAAAATGCCTGATATATTTTAATAAAGAGAGATTTATAACAGTGTTTGTGTCCATGGGCTTGACTTCAATGTGTCAGGATTGGTGTGTGGGTGCCCTCATGTGGTCAGAAGAGGTACTGCAGCATTAATGGAGCCGCGCAGCAGGCAGGTCATTTGATGTGAATTGACTTTACAGGGTGTCTGTATTATGTCTTAATTACCACATTTCATTCATCCATCTTTTTTTCTGTTTTTTTTTAAAGTTGAAATTAGTCAAGCTCTTCCACCTGACAGTCTACATTTCTGATCTTACAAATCTGTACACCTACCACTGAACCTAATATTGTCAAAATATAAAGGCAGTACCTGCAAAGCGTAATTAACCTGACCCCCTATGACTCAACCCTTCATATGTACCTGCATATTTTAATAACAAGGATGATTTATGCAAAATATGGTTTAAAATTTTGTTAAAAGGGTCTTAAGGCATTAAATTAAGTGTCTGATACTATAGACAACCTGATTTAGAACTGAATCACAGATTAGCCGGTTGACAGGAAATCAATCCGCAACAATGCGTTGTTTTATCAGGCGGAAATGACATTTTCTATGACTTTTTATATGATTTTGGACAACATACTATACTATGACTTTTTTTCATGGTTTTGGACGACATACTGTACTATGACTTTTTTTTTTAATGATTTCGGACATCATACTATACTATGACTTTTTTCAATGATTTCAGAAGACATACTTTACTATGACTTTTTTCATGATTTTGGACGACATACTATACTATGACTTTTTTTATGATTTTGGACGACATATTTTACAATGACTTTTTTTTATGATTTGGACGACATATTATACTATGACTTTTTTTCATGATTTTGGACAACATACTAAACTATGACTTTTTATCATGATTTTGGACGACATACTATACTATGACTTTTTTAATGATTTTGGAAGACATATTTTACTATGACTTTTTTAATGATTTTGGATGACATACTTTACTATGACTTTTTTAAAATGATTTTGGATGACATACTATACTATGACTTTTTATCATGATTTTGGACGACATACTATACTATGACTTTTTTAAAATGATTTTGGAGGACATACTATACTAAGACTTTTTTCATGTTTTTGGACGACATACTATACTATGACTTTTTTAATGATTTTGGACGACATTCTATACTATGACTTTTTTAATGATTTTGGAGGACATATTTTACTATGACTTTTTTAATGATTTTGGAAGACATACTTTACTATGACTTTTTTAAAATGATTTTGGACGACATACTATACTATGACTTTTTATCATGATTTTGGACGACATACTATACTATGACTTTTTTTTTATGATTTTGGATGACATATTTTACAATGACTTTTTTCATGTTTTTGGAAGACATACTAAACTATGACTTTTTATTATGATTTTGGAAGACATACTATACTATGACTTTTTTAAATGATTTTGGACGACATAATATACTATGACTTTTTTAAATGATTTTGGAGGACATTCTATACTATGACTTTTTTCATGTTTTTGGACAACATACTAAACTATGACTTTTTATCATGATTTTGGACGACATACTATACTATGACTTTTTTATGATTTTGGAAGACATACTATACTATGACTTTTTTTATGATTTTGGATAACATATTTTACAATGACTTTTTTAAAATGATTTTGGAGGACATACTATACTAAGACTTTTTTAATGATTTTGGACGACATAATATACTATGACTTTTTTAAATGATTTTGGATGACATAATATACTATGACTTTTTTTAAATGATTTTGGAGGACATTCTATACTATGACTTTTTTAATCATTTGGATGACATATTTTACAATGACTTTTTATCATGATTTTGGACGACATACTAAACTATGACTTTTTTAATGATTTTGGATGACATAATATACTATGACTTTTTTAAATGATTTTGGAGGACATTCTATACTATGACTTTTTTAATCATTTGGATGACATACTTTACTATGAGTTTTTTAAAATGATTTTGGACGACATACTATACTATGACTTTTTTCATGATTTTGGACGACATACTTTACTATGACTTTTTTAAATGATTTTGGAGGACATTCTATAGTATGACTTTTTTAATCATTAGGATGACATACTATACTACGACTTTTTTTTCATGATTTTGGATGACATACCATACTATGACTTTTTTTCATGATTCTGGGTGACATACTATACTATGACTTTCTTTTTAGTGATTTTTGGCGACATACAATACTATAATTTTTTTCATTATTTTGGACGACATACTATACTATGACTTTTTTTTCATGATTTTTGACATCATACTATACCATGACTTTTTTTTATTATTTTTGCCCACATATTATACTGTGACTTTCTTTTCATGATTTTTGACGACATACTATACTATGGCTTTTTTTTTTTTATTCTGGATGACCTGCTATACTATGACTTTTTCCATGATCTTGGAGCAAATACTATATAATGACTTTTTTTTTTCATGATTTAGGATGACATACTATACTATGACTTTTTTTCATTATTTTGGCAATATAGTATCATATGACCTTTTTATGATTTTTGACAACATACTACACTGTCTTTTTTACATGATTGTGGACGACATACTATACTGACTTCTTTTTTTTATGATTTTGGAGGACATACTATACTATGTTCTTTCTTTTACTATACTATGACTTTTTTTAAATGATTTTGGACAACATACAATACCATGATATTTCATTATTTTGGATGATATACTTTCATATGACCCTTTTTCATGATTTTTGACAACATACTATACTATGATTTAGTTTATGATTTTTGACGATATATCCTACTCTAACTTTTTTCATGAGTTTTGACGACATACTATGCTATGACTTTTTTTATGATTTTTGACTACATACTATACTATGACTTTTTTATGGTTTTGATTACATGCTGTTGTTGTTTGGAAAATTCAATTTAGATCTCGTATATTAAATATAAAATTTTAATGTATCTAAAAATATTTTACTATACTATTATAGACTTGTGATATGGAACAGATTACCAAAACCTGAACAAGCACAAATTCTAAATAGTATGAAAACAGCTCGAGTATTTGTTTTTAGAAAACACAAGTAAAAAAAAGTGGAAAAAGAGCAAAACAAGTCAGTAGTTTAGTGCTTTTTATTAGAGATAAGGAGACGATACAAAACATCCACCATTCAATATTCAGTCTAAACTCTGACCGCTGGTCTTTCATATACACATCGCTCCCCATCAGACCTTCATTACACCAAAGTTTTTAATTCGAGGAGATCCTGGTTTTAACAAGTACAAGGAATGTTGTCTGTTACATCAAATGCCATGGTTTTCTGACCCAGAACTGGAAATAAAAAGGAATCACTCAAGTTTTGGAATTTGCATGTTCAAAAAGAAAAAAAAAAACATATGGAATAACAAAACAAAAAAAGAAAAAAATATATATATTTAACCGCGTTCCCCCCCAGAGAAGGTTTTGATACATCTTGTGAATTAGTTCATACTACAACTAGTCTCAACTACAAACACTTACAAAACTTAACTAAAAGTTTGGCAAAAAAAATGTAGTTGGAACGTCAGGATTCAATGGTTGGAAAACTAAGAGGTTGTCGTCTGTCCCTTTCTCTGCAAACGTTCAAATGGAACCCGGAATGAAAGAACAAAACCCTGTCTTTAAACATGAACAATATGTGTTTTTAAGTTTTATCATCATCGTCATCCTTCCTCAAGTTGTATCTTTATGTTTTTCCTTTGTGTGTGTTTTGTTCATAATCTTTATGTTGCGTGAACTGGAATGACAGTCTGCATTTGTGGAATTTATTTATTTTTTTGTTTTTTTAAACTGTCACTTGACCCCGAAACCCACCCACAATATCCCACCCCGAGAGTCCCGCAAATGGTGCTGGTTTCTGCTTTTGCCCTTCTCCAAACCACACTGGAATGAACAGCTAAACCCAACAGATGTGTCTGAAAGGCCTCGATCGAAGCCAGAGAGGAGGGGAGGGGGGGGCGATATTTATATAGGGGATCCTTCCAGGCTGATTACTGACGAGCCGCCGAGCTTCTCTGCCAAGGTGTGTCGGTCTTTGAGGTCTTCCAAACCGTTCACCTGCCACTCGTGCTTAATACCTGGAATAAAATTGTAAAAATGTGTTAAACATACAACAAAGACTAAAATGTTATGAAACAGAGTGAGCGATGATAAAACCTATGTCATGCCATTTACCTTCAAATTTTCTCTTGATAGCATCTTTTGAGCTGGCATAGATCATCTTGCTCTTCAAGGGGGCACTGTCTGGAGCCCTGTGAGTGGGAAAGAAATACAATTATAGCCAAACATTATCTTAATAATGCTCATAAACCCTTTAGTGTCTAATAAAAGTGGCTCTCACCAGAAGATAAAGACCAGATCCTCCTTCTTTGTCTCTTTGGTCTCATAGGTGGCGTCGTACAGGGCGTAGCGGCAGTCGTCTGGGGGCAGCATCTTCACAAAGTGCTGGTATGGATCCTGGACGGTGGATCCCAAGTCGCCCAGCAGGATCTCTTTGCCATCATCCAGAACAATGTTCTTGAGGTCCTTGCTCATG